GCGCGTCGCTCGCCCTCGGCCACCGCTCACCGCTCCGCCGTCGCGCCACCCCAGCCCGTCCTAACCGCCACCGTGCCGCCTCCGACCGCCGTCCCGACTCCCTGCGCGAGCTCGCCCTCTGCCCACCCACTTTGCCGGAGCCGGCCCGTTGTCCATCTCCGCCGCTCGCCGCCACCGTCCCGGACGTCACCGCCGCCGTCCCAGCTACGGGACACCGCCACCGCCCGCCCGGCTTCCCCGAATAGCCCGGGCCACGGCCGATCGCCCCACTTGGCGGCTATTCCTTCGCTGTTCACCCTTGTCCGCCGGCCGCCGAGTCCGAACCGGAACCACCGTGGATCGCCCTCGTCGCTGCCGTCGTCCTCGCGTCATCGCCGGCGTTAGCCGAGTAAGTTAACCCCTAATCCCGTGTTTAGGGCGTTAAACTTGCTTAGGGTAGTTTAATTTATGTTTAGTTTGTGTTAATTGTGGGTTAGTGGTTAATTAATTGTGTTTAGGGTATAAGTTATTGATTAGTTTATTGTTATTGATTATTATATGAAATGTTATTATTTTCGGAATTTAAATATTATTTTATTAGTTAATAAATTAATTCCGAATTAAATATTATTATTTTATTATTAAATAATTAATTTCCGAAAATTAAATGTTATTATTTTCGGAAAATTTCTAGCGTCAAATTGTGATACCAATGTTGGTTTTCGCCGTATAAATTGGCGTATTTAGGAAATGATTTGAATGATTTCAATTCGAGGAGATATTTTGACATTTTGGAAAATTAAATTATTTTCGGATATTATTAATTAATTAATTCCGAATTTAATTTATTGTTATTTCGGAAAATTTATAATTTTGAAATTATGATTTCTAGCTTGAATGTTGGCGAGGTAAGGATGCCTGTGACTGTTTAATGATGTGCTGTTGATGCTGTATTGCCTGGTTAGGGACCCCCGTGCGAGTTAGCCTCCTAAGCGGGGCTTAGGCTGTTAACTTATTGAGACTTTCGTCTCATTTGTTGTTGTTAACCACTTTTCAGGCCCCTAGCATGTTGTTGCACCCAGTTTGGTTCAGGGCGTCTGGAAGCTGGCTTTTTGGGATCGACTTGTTGATGGAGTAGATTAACCCTAGCCTTTACTCTTTTTGCTGGCTTTTGTGGTAGCGCCCGATGTGGGCTTGTAAGAATGTTCCCAGGGGTTAATCAAGTGAAAATCAAAATAGTGTGGTTTGACTGTTGTGAATTGTTTTCCTAACTATCCCTGTTTATTGTTGTTGTCCGGGGATTGTTGTGATCGTTTCCGCATGCGTAATTAAAAGATAAAAAGAAAAGGGTCGGCGACGAGTCCTGGGTCGTCGCATCATAACGACCATAGCGGGGTTCGGGGCGTGACAGGTATGGTGATGAATTCAGATGCTGGACCCGAAATGTATCTAGCAATCCATCAACGATCTTGTTGTTCAGATTAGAGCCATTGTCAGTGATGATTGCTTCCGGAACTCCGTAACGGGCGATGATATCGCGGCGAACGAACTTGGCCACGCTCTTTGCGGTGACATTAGCATATGAATTAGCCTCAATCCACTTCGTAAAGTAGTCGATTGCTACTAAGATGAATCTGTGTCCGTTTGACGCCTTAGGGTTGATCGGTCCAATTATATCTATCCCCCACATGGAAAACGGCCAAGCTTGAGACATCTGATGGAGTTCGTTCGGCGGAGCATTAATCCTATCTCCATAAATTTGACATCGATGGCAGCATCGCACATGCTGAATACAATCAGATTCCATGGCCAACCAATAGTACCCGAGTCGCATGATCTTCTTTGCTAGGAGATGGCCGTTCATGTGGGGGCCACATTCCCCTTCATGTATCTCTTTCATCAAACGATTGGCTTCTTTCGCGTCGATACATCTCAGTAACACTGAGTCATAAGATCTTTTGTAAAGTGCATCCCCGCTAATGAAGAATTTTGAGGCCAGCTTCATCAGACATTTCCTGTCTGATGCTTCACTTCCTAGAGGGAACTCACCTTTCTGCAGGTAATTCAGAATGTCATGGTACCATGGTTCTCCATCAGGCTCTTCTTCAATTACCATACAATAGGCCGGACGCTTAAGGATTTCAATCCTTAATGGTTCGATATCCAAGCCTTTTATTGCTTGCAGCATTGTCGATAACGTGGCTAAAGCATCAGCGAACTGATTCTGAGACCTGGGTAGGTAATCGAATGATATTTCTTGAAATTCTTTCATGATACGGGACTAGTTTTGGATCCCGCGTTCGCCACTTGCCTTCGGTTTGAAGGATAATGAGGGCCGAATCGCCATAGACTTGCAATTTTTGAATCCCCATGTCAACAGTAGCTTGGAGGCCAAGGATACACGCTTCGTATTCCGCGATGTTATTCGTGCAAGGGAAAGTCAATTTGGCAGCCACGGGGTGGTGCTGACTATCCGGGGAGACGAGAACTGCCCCAGTACCGGAACCAGATAAGTTGACTGCACCATCAAAGTACATGGTCCATTTGTCATTCGACGCAAATAAGATCTGCCTATCCATATCACCATCTTCATCAGGGTCTTCTGCTTTTTTAGGATTTTCCGCTAACATGTCCGCTACGGCTCTGCCCTTTACGAACTTTTGCCCCAGGCTTTGCACGTCGAATTCTGAAATTAGAATCTGCCACTTGGCCAGCTTCCCCACTAAGGCTGGCTTCTCTAAGAGATACTTGATGGGATCATTCTCAGTTACTAGCAGAACCTGGTGATGGAGGGTGTATTGGCGTAGCCTGTGCAACACCCAGACCAAGGCTATGCACGTCTTCTCAACCTCCGGATAGTTCACCTCGGAGGTAGTGAATTTCTTGCTGAGATAATATATTGCGCGTTCCTTCCCATCGTCCGGCCTTTTTTGGGCCAGCATGGCTCCTAGCGATTCATCATGGATAGTTAGATACAAGATTAATGGAACTTTGGACACTGACGGGACCAGGATCGGGGAATGAGTCAGATAACACTTTATCTTTTCAAAGGCATCCTGACATTCGACGTCCCATTCGATTTTCGCGTTCTTCTTCAAGAGTTTGAAAAATGGCCTTGCTGTTTCTGACAACTGGCAGATAAATCTTGCCACATAATTTAACCATCCCAACAAACTGCGGACTTCTCTGACAATGGCCGGGGGCTGCAGGTCGCAAATGGCCATTACCTTCGACGGGTCAATCTCGATGCCTTTGTTACTAACCATAAACCCTAACAATTTTCCAGACTTTGCCCTAAATACACATTTCCCGGGATTGAGGCGCAACTTAAACTTTCGGAGGCGATCAAACAACTTCTGCAAAACTTCGACATGGTCTTCGCCTCGTCTTGATTTCGCAATCATATCGTCTACATACACCTCGATCTCCTTGTGCATCATGTTGTGAAATAACACGACCATGGCCCTTTGATATGTTGCCCCGGCGTTTTTCAGACCGAAAGGCATCACCTTGTAGCAAAAGGTCCCCCACGGGGTTATAAACGAGGTCTTGCTCCTATCCTCCTTCTTCATACGGATTTGATTATACCCTAAAAATCCATCCATGAAGGAGAACAATTCGAATCCTGCAGTACTATCGACCAAGACATCTATATGTGGGAGTGGAAAGTCATCTTTTGGACTAGCTCGGTTTAAGTCACGATAGTCCACACAGACCCTGACTCGACCGTCTTTCTTCATCACTGGCACAATGTTTGCTATCCAATCGGAGTAATGCGACACTTCGATGAACCCCACTTTTAGCAATTTCATAACCTCCTCCTCGATTTTCTTGGACAACTTTGGCTTGGTCCTTCGGAGTTTTTGCTTCCTCGGCAGTATGTCAGGATCAGTTGGTAGAGCATGCTCTACAATTTCTGGATCCAATCCCGGCATGTCAGCGTACGTCCAGGCGAACACATCCTGATATTCTTTAAGAAGGCGAACCATTCTTTCGGCCTCTGCTTTCGAAAGACTTGCCTCGATCTTTATTTCCTTGACATTTTCATCATTACCCAAGTTTATGGTGATTGTTTGCTCCACTGTTAATGGCCTTGATTCCTCATGTCGCTTCCATTCACGCTCAATCCCCTTCGGATCATTGTCATCGCTATCGATACCTGAGAGATTCCCTTCGTGCGAATCCGAACCACATGCGTCCTTATCATGATTATGCATAATGTGATGCCTGAGATGTGATGAGATGAGTTAGGACACAAAACATGGTACATGCCATTTTGAAAATGCTTTTGAAATTTTTGGAAAAGACTTCTAAGAGCTCATCCTCATGTCATCGGATTTCCTTGCTCATGAAGACCATGAAAACAGGGAGCACGTGAGACCCCAGCCCTCAGCGACCATCATAGGACTAGTTTGGTACGGTTCCACGTGTCCTTAAGAAAACATGCATGCATTTCATTGAATTAAAAGGATAAGGCCGCATTACAACACATACCGCCCCGAACCAACGGCTCAAGATTCGGGGCTAAACAAAGTTTTCATTACAAACGAGTTTAGATTAGCAAATTGAAACAACGCTAAGCTCCCATGCAGGGGAGAGAACATAAAGCAAATAACAACACTAACGGGAACCACCCTACTCTGCAGGGTCGGCGACACTTCCAGAAGATTAGCTTCTTCACACGTCAGGATAGTGCATATGACATTCTCCTCGAATAGCTTAGCTATACTGTCGATGGCCGCCTCTTCCTCATGTAGCATCTTCGGAGACCCGGGGAACATCTCTTTCAATAGGGGGAGTAATAGGCCTCGGCAGACTTTTTCCACTCCAATATGTCCGCCATGGTCCCCCTGACCTGCGCCTCGGCCTCCTTGGTTGCCCCGGCCTCCGTCGCTACCTCGACCTCCACAGCCACCTCGGCCTCCATTGTTACCTCGACCCCTGGAGCCGCCTCGGCCTCCGCGATTACCTCGGCCTCCATCATTGCCTCGACCTCCGTTGTCCCGACTTTCACGGTTGCCTCAGTCTCCATTATCTTGGCTTCTCTGATACCCTAAGCCTTCCCTCTTCGCACCTTTTCCGACTTCGATGGGTTTCCGAATCCCTTGCCCATGCAATCCAAGGCCTTCCCCGTGGTTGTACCCGTTTGCGAGCATAATTTTTCCAGCTGCTAGAGTTGGCTTGGACAGTTCATGGGTGCCCATGAGTGAGGCAACGGGAACGTGGACCATAGATACCAATTCCAGAGTTTGGAAACTGGATTTCTCTTTGCATTCGGGCTCCACGTACGGGATGGCTGTCTCGTGATAGACTTTGAAGTCTGTTTCTCCATGTACTGTAACAAGCTTTGCCATCGACCACAAACCGCACCTTCTGATGGAGACTAGAGGGTACAGCACCCGCGGTATGAATCCATGGTCTCCCTAATAAAAAGTTGAATGCACTTGGGATGTCTAGTACCTGAAAAAGCACCAGAAACGTCACGGGACCGACCAGGAGTTCCAACTCTATCTCTCCTATTACTTCCCTTCTAGTGCCGTCGAACACTCGTACGGGATTTTTGGCAGTATGCATCTTCCCTAGATCGACCTTTAAGAGACGGAGAGTGGCTAACGGGCATAAATTCAAAGCGGAGCCATTATCGATCAATCTCCTTACGACCATCATATCGTGATGCTTAACCGAAATGTGCAAGGCTTTATTATGATTTTGGCCCTCTATCGGAAAGTCTTCGTCCGCAAAAGAGATTTGATCCTTCAACAGGATGGTCCCCACAAATTCCTCTAACTGGGCTTCGTCGATCATCTCCGGGACATGAACCTCGTTAAGGACCTTTAATAAGGCATCCTTGTGTTTCTCAGAAGATTTGAAAAGATCCAAGAGAGAGATTTGGGCTGGCATTTTCCGCATTTGGTTTACCACGTTGAATTCACTCGTTTTTATCACTGCCAAAAATTGCTTTGCGTCTTCTTCGGTCATGGCTTTTTTCTCAATTCCCCTGACAGGCGCATAGCAGCGACCTGATCGGGTGATAGCATTCACTTCATCCGTTTCGTAATCCCACGGGACCGCCTTAGTATTGAAATCCGGAGGGGCTTCAAGGATTATGGCCCCTTCTTCTTCCAGGGGTGGCAGCTCGATTACAACTCGCGTCATATCCTTCCTTCCAACCTGGATTGCTGAGAATTCTTCAGTTGCGAGATCAATTATCACTGGCTCGACATCCTCCACCTCCTGATCACTAGCATAATCTTCATCAGAGAAGTATATCATGACCGGTGTTGTCATGGCGACTAATCCCTGTCCCATATCAGCACTCCCAATTACCCTCATGCTCATCATTCTACGAACATAGTCTAATTTTTCTTCCATCGTCACATCCTTTCCTCCTTCGTGGTATCCAGCTAGCTGAAGAATTTCATATAGCCTTGGGATGTTCACCATGAAGGTTTGTTTGCTCACATTCGCTTTTTCGAACACCACATTTGCGCCCTCGGCATGGTCGGGCAAAGGATTTTGCTTCACATTGGGTCGCGCTCGCTCGAACGATAGAATTCCCTTGTCCAACAAGTTTTGAATCTTGATCTTTAGTGCAAAGCAATTGTCCGTGTCATGCCCCCTTTCCCCCCGGTGGTATTCGCATGTCTTAGTCATGTCAAACCCAGGGAACCTTGGAGGATTGTCCCTAGGTACTTCTTTGGCTACCATCCTCCTCTCAATGAGCATGGGCAACAACTTTGACAAGGATTTTGGCAGCGAAGAGAATTCCCTATGAGGAAATTTCTTATTTCGATCATGCCCTTGGGGCGCATGCCCTTGTACGATTGATGGCTTTTGTGGGGGTGCTGAGAAAGACTTAGACGGCTCTTGGACAAATGCGACTTCGACAGCGGTTTCCTTGTTCTTCTTTGTTGGGAATCCTTTGCTATTCCCTGCGGGTATTCTCCCATCGACAATCGCCCATTCTACCCCTTCGCCCACTTCCACCAGTTGGGAAAATGTTTGACATCCAGAAGTTAACATTCCGTGAAAATACTCAGGTGGCAGGGTTTTCAGAAAAAGTTACCTCATCTCCCTCTCGATCAGCGGGGGCTTTACTTGTGATGCCATCGTCCTCCATCTTTGAGCGAATGCCTTGAAAGGTTCATTCATTCTCTTTTCTAGCCGAACCAAGTCTTCTCTCGTGGGGATGATTTCAGAGTTGAACCTGTACTGCTGAAGGAACTCTTCGGCAAGATCTTCCCATGCTGTGATCGTCTCAACATCCAGCGCAATGAACCATGACATGGCAGGGCCAATCAAGCTATCTTGGAAGGTCTAGATGAGGAGTGGTATGTTGTCGGAATAACGAGCCATTTTTCTCAAGTAATACTTGAGATGAGTCTTAGGGCAACCGGTGCCATCATATTTCATGCTAAATTCCGGTTCCTTGAAGGTTTCAGGGACTTTCACTTTAGCATACGGAGATAACTTATCAACCCCTCGCATCTCATACCCTTGAAGAACACAGAGTCGTTCCTCCATCTTAGCTAGGCGCCTTGCGCTTTCCTCATCGAGGCGGGAGATAGGCTCCTCCCTTGGAACAGGGTCCAGATTTACAATGATCGGTGTGACAAAAGGGGAATCTGATGTTGTCCCCTTTTCAGGAGGATCCGTGGCATGTGGATCAATGGCTAACGGGGGAGTATGCCCTGACGAGGTGGGGATAGAAGCCTCGGTGGCACGTGTAGGCGGAGGATCCTTAAGTTTCTAACTTATTTCGGCCATCATGGTGGTAAGTTCGGCCAATTGGTTTTCCATGTTGGTCATACGCGCATTGGCTTCTTCGCTCTCCATTCTGACTTTTGCACAGGTTCGGATCGGAGATCTCCTTTTAGCCGTCTCGGTTATCTTGGTGGAACGGATGCACTAGCTAAAGCCCGGTTGTGACGGCTACAGGAAAAAGCTCCTCAATCTCGATTTCACTCTCCGCGCGTTGATTGAGCTCGAATTGACAAATACGGACTGTTCGTAATCACCTGAATCATAAATAAGCAAGCATACATAAGCACATGATTCATATAGAATACCGGTCCATGACAATGGTCTAGCCGCTTTCATTCATTAAAATGTTCTTAATTGAGTAACACTCCTAAACTTGAAAAGTGAACTAAAAATTGAAAACTCAAAGCTCCTAAACATCAAGCTAATAAAACAAAATAAGATAAAATAAGAATCCTAAGACAGATGAACTAAAAACGGAATGACTAAACCCAAAACGACAAACTCAATCTATCATACTCCTCTTGATCTATATGCGAATGGGAAGCCAATGCTCGACGCAACTGCCTATTCTCCTTGGCAACACGCTTCAAGCTTTCTTCGGCCTTCTCTGTCTTCCTCTTGAGATAGTTGATTTCTGCTTGGCGCGTTGGCTTCTTGGTCACGTCCGGGATCTTTGGGAGAAACTCGGTCGGGATCTTATGCCGACGGATGTATCGGGCCGTGGCATAATAAGTCTTTTCTTTCCCTTCGAGCTCGTCTTCAGGCCAATTTAACTTCTGAGCATGGCAGGCGAGCCAAGCCTGTTCAGCATGGCGAAGCTCTCTTTTGTAATCTCCTCCCTTTCTGGTAAATTGGACTTGTAGCGAATCTGGCTTGAGAGGAGGTGGTAGATCCTGGATGACCCGATATTGGCGGGCCACTCGGAGCGGGTAGTAGGAAGTGATACCGGTGATTCCCAGTAATGGGATTGGTTCATTATTGCCATAAGAGAGACGTCCCTTGTGAAGTCGGAACCACTTAGCTTGCCATAGGAAAATCTTGGTTTTCGGATTTTTCAACAAATTTACCCATTCTGAGAAAGAAAGATTCGGAGTTCGATCCTGATGATTCTTAAATGCCTCAATAGGGTGATTAGACTCACTAATGTCATTGATATTCATGCGAATACCAAATTCACTTGTATGAGAGAAAAACCAGATTTGTAAAAGCTCGACAGGAGCACGGAAAACCTTTTCTTCATTTTCTTTAAATCGGGTGAGTGATAAAAATGTTTCAGCCAAGATAGTATTGACAAAGCTAACTCCACCACATACTTGTTTGACCACCCATGCAACGGAAGGATCAATAGCATTCTTGCGAAAGGGAAAAATTATGAACCCAAAGAAAGCTAGAAGGAAGATCTTACCTTTTAAAAGGGTCTCAGCATTTGCAAAACACTGACCTAAGAAAGAAAGTGGGCATGCATGGCAGTTATCTTTTAGCACCTTTCCGATTTGATTCTTGTTCATTCTAAGAAAGTCAGACAAAATTGATTCCGATTCAGACCCGAGGGGTGGATCGATTAACTCCAAATCCAAAGGTTTTCCTATGGCAACGCTATATTCTTCCAAAGTCGGAGTCAACTCATGCTTATGGAATATGAACGTGGACGTTTGGGGACACCAAAAATGGGCTATTGCTTGCATGACCCCACTTTGGATGTCGATGTCGAGAAGAGGCAAAAGGCGACCAAGTTTGTTCTCCACATAGGCTCGGCCCTCACGATCCAACTGATCCCACCAATGCTTGAGCTCGGCCTTCGAAGTAGGAACGAATCGAATGTCGGATCTTCCCATTGCATATAGACCAAGACTCGACCAACCTAACTGTCATAGACCAGCCAAAGCATAAAAGTAAGTAAATTGCAAAAGAAAATGATAGGAAACTTACTTCACCAAACAATTACGACAACCACATAGACATACGCATGAAGCGTGTGGCTCGACTTCTATTCTAAACGGCTTAACAAATTGGAGCTACGAGGGTGGAATGACTAGTCGCGGCCTCTCGTACTAAGCCAAGTCCTCGCGACTCCGGCTCAGTCGGGAATGATACCTCAATGCGACGCGACCTCGCGGGCAAAGGTAAACATTCTCGACACCAAGAAAGAAGCTTTCGGGATTGAGTTGGGCAACCTCTACTACGCGGCCTCGCGGTCGAAGTTGTATCCAACTCAATACCATCCTAAACATTCCTAGTGCGGCCCAGGACCGACGGCGGGTTGTGTGTGTGCCATAGTGTAATGCTAACGCAACAAAGGCGTACACAACAATTCATATGCAATCACCACTTCAAAAATGCTAAACAAACATTCATTCCAAAACCCCCAAACCTGCAAAACAAGGGTTAACAATAATCTATTCCCTTATAACTCCCAACTGCAAGAACATTCACATTAAGGACATAATTGAACAAGATAAACGGCCTAAGTCCACTAAGAATTTTATCAAGTCCCCAGCAGAGTCGCTAAGCTGTCGCGACCTCCCCGAACCAGCCCAGCCGCCTAAGGGGTTTGGCTAATGGATTACTAAGTTAAACCTAGCTCGAGCTCTCCCAAGCCCATACCAATTCGTGACTTAAGTTTAAGTTGTTAACATGCAAATCAATTTCATTTAGGAGTCGCCACTAATCGATTTTTGGTGGGTCGATTAGACACCCAAGTAAAGCACGGGAGAAATGCTTTACTTCTACGAACCAGAGATTCAAAGGGTACGGGGACTTGATTACACTAATTGACTAATTAGTGCCCTTTCGGTACCTAATCTTGTTCAATTCACCACCTAACGTGTTCACACTAATCGGGAGTCTCAAAATTCCATTCTTAACTAAGCCAAAGAAAGCAACAGTCAACGCCTAGACCTAACATGCATAATCAACTACGTGCGAGGTTAAATCAAACACGCAATTCGAAGTGTGTGAACCAAGCAACGTGCAATCGAACATGACACTAATCACACCATAGGGCAAAAAAACAATTCCAAAGTCTAAATAATTTTTTTTTATTTTTCGATATTTTAAAAAAAAATTAATAATTTTTTAATAATTTTTTTAATGTTTTTTTAATAATTTTTAATATAAAAACAACATAAAATCGGATCCGGGTCAGATCTCCACATCCGACCCGGATCGGGACCGACCCGTGCGCGCCGGCCCGGGTCCACCACCGAACTGGGTTCATTTATTGAGCCCGGTCTGGTAAATAAAACAAATAAAGAAAGAAAAAGGGGCCCAGCCCGAAATTTTTTAGAAAAACAAAAGCCCAGCCCACTATAAATAAAGAAACTAACAACACTTCAGCCCAAATTCGAATTTTGGCCCACCCACGAAAGGCCCAAGACCTAATAAAACACTAAAACCCACACACTAAATAAAACCCTACCCGGTCAGACCCGCGACCTGACCCGGACGTGTATTGCCCTACCCGGTTCGCGGCCGCCACACCGCGCCCCGGACTCGCCTGAACACCGGCCACCGCTCCGACGTGGAGCGCAAGCCCAGCCACCGCCACACGTCGGCCGGCGTGGACGCCGCCCTCCGTGAGCCCGGTCTCCTCGGCCGACGCTCCACCTTGGCCCGCATCGCCGCCCCGACGAGGGGCGGCGAGCGTCCTCCAGCCGGGTCGCCACCTGGCGACCGGCGACCACCTAGGACCGATCGACCGAGCCTCGGCGAGAGGCTGGCAGGTCGATCAGCCGAGAACCGGCCAGATCCCGACGGGGGACTGGCCACCTTACCTCACCTCGCGGTCGCGCCCGGACCGCCGCCCTACCCGCGGGCCTCCTCTGCCCGCGTCACCGCCGCTGCAACCAACTCCCAGCCGGGACCATCCTGCGTTCTAGTCCCCAAACAGAAAACGCAACGAAACAGAGACAGATTCGAGAAACGGTTCAGGCATATCATCAAACACCTTGCAAGCGTCGACGGAAGCGAGGGATTTCAAGCACGATTGAGGCTCAAACACATCCGAAATTCACACACAACAACACGCAGAGCAGTAGGACCGAGCCCGAGGTGTCACGGACCGGAACTTGCGCAAGCCGGACGGCCGCGAGCTCCGACCAGTGACCCCCCCCCAAAAAACTGAGTAAAAACGAAAGCAGGGGAGGCGGCCACGGTCCCTACCCGACTCGGCGGTGGCGAATGGAGGGCGAACGCGGTGGATCGGGCTGCACCCGCGCGCCTCGCACACCTACGAGCCGGGATCCTCGGGAGACTGACCCCGAATCGAACCCAAACCGAAACAAAACCCGGCGAGCGCTCGAGACCGGGACCTACCGTGACAGAGGATCGTCGGCCGCGGATTGGGCACGGCGGTTGCCGGCGGAGGACCGACGTCTCTCTCTCTCTCCGGAACTCTCTCTCTAGGATCTCTCGGTTCTCTCTCTCTCTCTCTCTCTCTCTCTCTCTCTCTCTCTCGCAGTTCCTCCCCCGCCGATTTCTCTCTCTCTCCTCGGATTTAAGGACGACCAGGGGCGCGAAGCCGG